TGTGCTATTTGAAGTGTTTCTGAATATTTATAGGAAGGCTTTCAGCTGCACACACAAGTTCATAAGAAGAATCCTGATGGATCAGACCAGGGTTCATCTATTCCAGCACTCAATTTCCCACAGCAGCCAGTCAGATGTTTTTTTGCAAACTCATGTCCAGAATTTCCTGGACATAGCCGGAATATGGCAGTCGCAAGCAGTGTCTGGGAAAATGCTTGAATATCCAGGAAAATCTGGACGTATGGCATGGGTAACTGTAGACCCCAAACTATTGAAGTAGATTTTAGGGCCCTGTTTCCCCAAAGTGTCTCTCTAAATCCACCAAAATTTTGATTATCTGAATTTTCAGTCTGTTCCTTGGTAGAATGAAGTAAACCTTTAGTAGTTGCTATCACTTCCACCAGGCAATGGACCTCCTCCTGTATCCGTTCAGTCATTGATTTCTTCCCCATCCCAAAGTTCTGCAGCGTGGAGAGAGTGAAGCGATGTGGTTCCTTCCATTTCTTTTTATTCCTGGTGCTGATCCCTGGAAGGATGTCATTTGACATTGTTGCATAAGTTCTGATGGAACACATGGCTATGGGATGCTATGGTTTCATATTTGCAAACCATTACCTCGAGCCAAATGAGATGCAATGTGGGCCATCCTAATCATTCTTCACATGTGCTCCCTGCTCATGTATGAAGTACATAGCAGGGCACGTGGGGTTTTTCATTTCTTCTCAGAAATGTGTGTGCAAATAAAGGGAGCTGCCAGTGTTGCAGAAGTGGACGGAGGAGAAAAACATATGAAATGATAGGAAATGGTGAGGTGAGAGTGACAAGTGCAGAGCTCAGCTCCCTTCTCCTACCCACATATTTTCTAGTAAAATTTTCGATTCTTTTGGGGAGAACATACTGCATACTCCCTGGGATCTGTCCAGGGTGCTGATGGATCCATATGACTACACTTGTTTCCTCATCCATTTTGAATGAATATTGCTAATTGGTCCCTTGCTCTCTCAGTCCATCCTAGACACTACTTGACATGCTTCCTTCAAACTCCTGTATGGGCTCACCAGCTCTGGGCAATATGTGAATGGGTCAGCAATGTGAACAAATCTGGCTGTCTAGACAAATTTTGTCTAGGTTAACTATCAGTCACTACATGGTGGTATAAACCGCTGAGCCTCTTGGGCTTGCTGATCGGAAGGTCTGTGGTTCGAATCCCTGCAACTGAGTGAGCTCCCGTTGCTGTGTCCCAGCTCCTGCCAACCTAGCAGTTTGAAAGCATGCCAGTGCAAGTAGATAAATAGGTACTGCTGTGGTGGGAAGGTAAACGGCATTTCTGTGCACTCTGGCACTTGTCACAGTCACATGACCCAGAAAGCTGTCTGCCAACAAACGCCAGCTCCCTCAGCCTGAAAGCGAGATGAACACCGCAACCCCATAGTCGCATTTGACTGGACTCAGCAGTCCAGGGGTCCTTTACCTTTTTTACCTCTATATACTGTTCTACATACTGGGAGAGACAGGCAGTGCTTTTTTCTTTTAAAAAATGTTTAGGGGTACTCTCATTTTGACTCAAGAAAATCACCATTTTATAGTTCAAATCAGGAAAAAGAAATACAGTAAATGGACAAAAGTACAAAGATTCACAAACTGTTTAGGGGTATATATACCCCTGCATACCTGCAGAGAAAAGCACTGGAGGCAGGTATAATCTAGGCCCTAAGACAATTTGAATGGGACACTTCCTTTGAAACAGAAGGGAGAAATCATCATAATTAAGATCAACAATAACAAAAACACTCACCTAAATTTTTGGTCACAGTTTCAAGTATAGGTTGGCTACTTTGCCCACCAAACTCTTCAGCATAACTAACCAGAGCATCTTTCACAACCTCGTATCCACACAGCACCACCATAGGCTTTGATCCTATCCAGATAGTGAATATCTGGTCGTACTGATTGGTGAGCTGAGGAAAGTATTATGGAGGTGTATGATTCATTAGGCAGCTGCCTTAAAAGACTACTACTAAAAATGTTTGTGATTTTAGCATGCTTTAATGGGAGGTATAGGCAGCACACCTGCATGCTGCTTCCTACGAGTAAGCAAAGTGAACTTTTGGATAGGCATGCATATGCACAGTTAGGCTGCAATACTGTGCTCTATCATGCATGTTTTCTTGAGAGTGAGCACCAATGAACTCTGTGAGAAAACATGTATGGAATCAGAATGTACATCCCCTCACAGAGCTCAGATTCCCAGAGTTCTCTGGGAAGAGGGACTGATTGTTAAACCACTCAGGGTATGGTAGTTGTGTAACAGGAATAGAGGTATCCAAACAACTTACAACACCCTTAACAAACTGCAGTTCCCCAGGAGTCTTTAGGGGAAGCCATGACTGTTTAAAGCATCATAATAATGCTTTAAACGTATAGTACAGATGGAGCCTGATAGCTGAAGGGGCTTACTTGGTACCCCAGTTATAACTGCTCACCTTAATACAGGAAGACTCTTTAACCCAATAATGCAACAAATAGATACTGTCACAATAGCCCAGTTTTTCAAGTGACCTATGGGGTGTCAGTACGCTCCAGAAGACCTATGCTTCTCATTGTTATTCTGTTTGAGAAGAGTTAAACCACTTGCAAATTCACTCATGCACTAAGTGGCAAGAAAATGGAAAGTTAAGGTGCCTCAGGTTAATTTCCATGCCACATGTAAGCAATACACACTGTATATGCTGCTCATATACAGTAAAGAAAGGAAGAAGTCAGCAGGTCTATATAAATATGTTTACTGAGCCCAACATTTTGTTTAAAAACAACAACTAATTTTAAAAATAAAATAAAGCAAACCTATAGCAAACAATTTACATGAAATCTGACGAGGACTCCCCAAATATCACTTTCATTGAAACCCTACAAAACATTATATTGCCAATGTTTTATTTTAATTTAACAAGAAGAGGAAACCCAGCAACACTCCACACCAACAAACAATTGTATGATCCAAAATAAACATAGGGAATAGTGAGAGAATACCAGGAAATTGTGTATGTGTGTGTCTTACCTTTTGATATGATTTGGACAGATGCCTGAAATCTATTTGCAGGAGGATCCCTACAAAGGGCAATGGAGTACGACTTGGCGGTAGTTGGCTTTGTTTCTGGTACATTTTGAATTCCTTGTACATACTTGTCCAGGGTGGGACATATAAAAGACTCCACATAAAAGACTTCCCTCTTGCAAGAATGCTTAAAGTTCATGTGGCCAAGGCAACATACACATGGATTTTCAGAGACACGTATAACAGTTAAACAAATTTTGAGCTAGAGTGTGAGGAACTAGAAGAGCCAGTTTCATGGTGCTAAAAAAAAATGTATGTGATGCAAACAAATCAGAGTGAGTGCTCATTAAATAGCTGGCTCCCCTGAAAACTCCTGGTGCTCAGAGATTGGGTGTAACATTATAATACTGACTATACAAACAGTATTCAAAGTGGACCTAGGACTGAAATCCAGAAAAAGGAAATAGGAGGGTTCTTATATGCAACTTAGCAAGTGATGAGCAGAAGATGCAATAAAAACATAGGTAGAACTGAGGAATGTTAGGGAAGTCCAAAGTTGATACAGTGTTGGCTTGAAGGAGTGTGGCTACCATTCATGGGGAAATGGAGAGAGAGATAAAAACTGTCTACGAAAGTGAAAATCTGTTACCTCCCTGGAAGAGCAAAGGAAGCTTCTTCTTTATGAGGGGATGCTCTTTTTGCAAATTGTCTCAGATGCCAAGTGTGGTGGTGCGCACAGGTATCAACAAAGAAGGGCATTAAACCATTAAAAAATCATAGTCCAAGATTTATTGCACCCATTTATCTAATATGTGGCAAGTTTCATGCCCCTCAAAGGATCTACTATGCCCGTAATTTCATGCCATTTTACCAACAAATTAAAGGGGGTGGGGGAGATGCAGGTGTTTGCAGCAATTTGTTGTGAAGCTTTATAAACACCTTCAACAAGAAACTGACGTGTGGTATTATCAAATGCTTTTTCTGCATCTGGAAACGTAACTACTCGTTCAAGATTTGTTTTTCATGCATAAATGAAGTTGTTGGCATTCGTCTGTCTCAGGAGACAATGGAGGAGTGCAACTTTGTGGGTGAAGTCAAACCACTGGAGGGTTACAGCACCTGCTGTGGCTGTTGAGACCAATAAGGAACAGATGCTGTATATAAAGGTGACCAGTTGAGCTGCTGCAGATGCACAGCTAGATTTATTATTTTCCTAATATTATCCTTCATTATGCAAAATCCATCTTGATCTATATGATTTTTAATTATGATCCTTTTTAGATTTAAAAAATATATGCTATTGTTATAGACTTGTTACAGAATTCAATTTACCCATTTGTAATATCTCACTCTTCACTTTAGAAAGTTATTGTGCTAACATACTCCTAAAGGTCATAACCATGAGATTCCATCTGCTCTCAAAGCTTTATTGATCTTTGCCCTTTTTACTGTATCTATCACTACTTATTTCTGGTTACACATAGGTAGCCGTGTTGGTCTGCCATAGTCAAAACAAAAAAATTTCCTTCCAGTAGCACCTTAAAGACCAACTAAGTTAGTTCTTGGTATGAGCTTTCGTGTGCATGCACACTTCTTCAGATACACTGAATTCCTTCCAGTAGCACCTCATGAGAAGAGAAGACTCCCTGGAAAAGACCCTGATGTTGGGAAAGATGGAGGGCACAAGGAGAAGGGGGCGACAGAGGATGAGATGGTTGGATAGTGTTCTCGAAGCTACAAACATGAGCCTGACCAAACTGCGGGAGGCTGTGGAAGACAGGAGTGCCTGGCGTGCTCTGGTCCATGGGGTCACGAAGAGTCGGACACGACTAAACGACTAAACAACAAGCACCTTAAAGACCAACTAAGTTAGTTCTTGGTATGAGCTTTCGTGTGCATGCACACTTCTTCGTGTGTGTATCTGAAAAAGTGTGCATGCACACGAAAGCTCATACCAAGAACTAACTTAGTTGGTCTTTAAGGTGCTACTGGAAGGAATTTTTTTTTGTTTTTACTTATTTCTGGATTGATTCTTCTAATGTTTCATAGGTCCCTCAGCTGTGGTTTTCTAAGTGTTGCACTACAATTCCCAGCAGCCCCAGCCAGCATGATGTGAGCTATAGTTTGGAATATATAGTTTTTCTAAGTACTGTGTGATTCAGATCTCCCAATAATCATGTTCTTCCTACTTCAAATATACTGAGAGACATTGGCATCATCCATTCTGCTTAGTTGCTGTCACTGGATCATATTGAACGTCTAGTGAATTTCAATGGCAAGTCTCCTTTCATCAGGCCACTGTCCTCATACAAAGTAAATATATCCTTGTCTTTGGCATCTCCCACCAGCTGGAAGGTGAAGTTCTGGAGCAGAGCACCGAAGAACAGGAACAGCTCCATCCGAGCCAGGGCTTCCCCTGGGCATGCCCGTTTTCCTAGGTGAAAAGAAGGCGGCAGTGCTCATCAGTCATCAAAGACCTATATAGTGCCAAAGAAACTCCAGCCAACACATTTTGAAATAATGGAACTGCATAAGAAAGACAGCAGTGAGACCATTTCTCAAGTGGTCCTGCAACTCTGTTTCCACTGTGATGTGAAGGTGAAGTGTTTCAGGCAAGTATGTTTTTGGAGATATTGGTCTCATGTCATTTTCTCGATTCTTTGGCTGATTGGTGGACTTCTATTCTGAGCATGTTATATAACACTAAAGTACTGCTTGGCTTATTCTCCTGCCAGAAAACATAATAATGTGGCTTCTGTCTGTGTGTATGTGTAAATCTTTGCTGAAAGCTACACATAAGCAGTTTCAGAGCAAAGAAATATAAAAGATTATGTGAGTGTGAGTTACTCTTTCCTCTCATTTCATCATGCCAACTCTCTTTCTTAATACAGAGCCCAAGTGGTTCCTGTAGGTAGTGGTCCAAAAGTTGGGAACTGAACTGTCCCTTCCTCAGGATGATGCTTACAAATTTTCTGCTCAAGATGCAGGAAATGGAGGACAGAGGCAGAGAGAAATGTCTTGTGGGTAGAGAATCCCTCCCCAAACCTCTTACTTATCTCCTGGCAGCACTATCACTTCCTGGAGTCCAGCTGCCCACATGCCAGCTGCTGGACCCAACCCCACAATATGAGAATCTAGGTCTATAGAGTCACCTGCAGAAAAAGGCATGAAGGCAGCCCTGTTCCGGAAGTTGCCCTTCTCATCCAAGAAATGACCCGGGTTAAACTCTTCTGGAGTCTCCCACTGGAGAGGATCAAAGTGCACAGTTGAAATCTCTGCACAGACTGCCGTGCCCTTTGGGGAGAAGATACAGATTTCATTATTTGTTTCAGCTTCATAAACATAAGACATTCTGCCTCTGTTTCAGTGATCTTTGACAGTGACTTACCAATCGTACCATTCCTGGTTATGGGACATTTATCTGATTCTAATAAGTTCGTGACTCCATGCACATATTATATGCCTTCTGTTCATAATTTTGATACAGTATAGTGTTATAAAAATACTGTCAGTATATTATTAGCTGACATGCTGCTTGTTGTTTTTCAGAGTCATATACATAAGAAGCAGCCATCTTATGGGAGAGACTGATTCCTAAAGTTGGTTGTCATATATAGAAACAAGTCATTGCACAGCATTCTGAAAAATCACCATGAATGTGGGGGGTGAGGTTGTAATCAGCATATCTTGTCTCTGCACTGGCTGGGACTGTGGCAGACCAAAGTCATTGATGGGATGATAAATCCCCCCCCCCGCTCTCCACAGTAACCTGATCATTTCACATGTGACACAAACCTGGGGGATAAGATAGCCCCGGAATTTTGTAGGACGTGTTGTTGCACGCGGGATGCTCTCAAGGCTCCCTTTTTGATATCGTTGAACCTCATGGAGAACAGCATTGGTGTAGGGCATCCTCACCCTATCTTCCATGCCAGGGATACGGTTGGCACCTACCACATCATAGATCTCCTGTTGAACTTTTTCTGTAAGAAAAAAAATTCAGCTCTACTTTCAGAATTCTGAAACTACTTCTCCTCTGACATAGTGATAGCCTTCAACATTCTCCAACCGGAAGGAAAAGTAACACTTACTGACATGAATTTGCATCCTGGCAGGAGCCCATTTTTAAAGATGGCATGCAAAGATGAAAGGAATTCGGCTTTTGTCCCCTTTCCTAAAGGGGATCACCTTAGGTTACTAAAGAATGTGGGCTTTTTATCTTAGAGATGTTCATGAAATCATGCAAAACATGTTGAATAAATGGTGTGGAAACTTTATGCAATCTCCTCACACAATACCTTTTACTCATTCATTAAACTTATATCCCACTCTCCCCCCCCCCCAAAAAAAGGAGTCCTGGGGTAGTAAATCAGGGTCAACAAAGGCAAGGGCTCAGGCATTAGGCTCAGGACAGAAAAGATAAAGTTCTTCTTTACATGATGCATATTTAAAAGTCATAATTTGCTGCCACAAGACAAATTCATGGAGCCATTAGAATCAGAATGAAAACCTCTGTTGGGGAGTCTAACGTCTGAATACCAGGGACTAGGAGGACTGTTGCTTTGAGGGATGGAGGAGGAAACCATTTAAAACTGATTCATACACGGAGTTGGGCTCGGATAGGATTGCCTCTGGTATCCAGTGGCTACATCTGTCCAAGGGGCTGGTGCAAATGTAACCCACTGCTTTAGATCATTTTAGCAAGAGCTGAGGCAGGGAGCAGCCAGCATTATGAGCAAATAGCCTGTTCTCCTTTGTGTAAGGCTGTGAACCCTTAAGAATAGCTCAGTAGTGAAGTTTCCTTAAAGTTTTAGGTGCAGTTATTCATTACATCGTAAGGTCCTTCTTTGTTGAAGTATGTGTTTTATAAAGGGATGTAAATTTTAGTTCCTGAGTGCCAAATTCGCTGGAGTGAAGTGCTGTGGAGTTAAGGTGAATGAGAATATGCCCTTTTCCCACCGGGAAAGATAAACATCAGTGTCCAGGAAGACAGAACATGAAGGACAGAACTCTGGGAGGACAGTACTCTTTTGTCATATTAATTTATGAGAATTTTATCAATTTTTCATAAATTATATCATTGATGTAGCATCCTTATTTATGTGCTGGTTACGTTTGGAAAATTGGAGTGCATATGCTTATAATATGCATATGATAGCATTGTCTGCAGTGTTTATAACCTCGAAAGTGGAGCACTTCTCACTGAGATCTATGAGACAGAGAGGAATTTTAGAAATCCATAGATATCAGCTCCATATCACGTTTTTCAGAAAATTCCGTTAATGCTCAGCTTGAAAACTTCCCAGAGGCATCTCTCTGGTCACTTTTGGACACGGAATACAGTGGTACCTCAGGTTACAAACGCTTCAGTTTACAAACGCTTCAGGTTACAGTCTCTGCTAACCCAGAAGTAGTTCCTCAGGTTAAGAACTTTACCTCAGGATGAAAACAGAAATCACGCGGAGGCAGCAGGAGCCCCCATTAGCTAAAGTGATACCTCAGGTTAAGAACAGTTTCAAGCTAAGAACGGACCTCCAGAATGAATTAAGTTCTTAACCCGAGGTACCACTGTATGGGAATAGATGGGCTGACCTAGGAGAAGACATTTTGTGAGCAAGTTGTACTGACTGTGCAGTTTTAATGTTTGTTTGTTTTTTCTTTCTCTTTACTATTACTCTTTCCACCTTGGAAAGGCAGAGCCTTTCAGTCTTTTGGGCAATTTATGTACCTTGGATGTGTGGCAATCTAGCCATCACCAGAAGGGCACAGCTCAAAACTTCGCTTGTGGACAATGACCCAGCAATAAAGAGTTCCTGCACAATCACAATAAGCTCCTCTTTGGTGTAGATGGCCTCTGGTTTGTTCTGGTCCTGTAAAAAGGAAAAGGAAAAAGAGAAGAATTTAAAACATCCATTTGAAAGAGTGATGGAGGAAGTGAGACATCTCAATAAATGCAGTAAATGGATGGAGCGAAATACTTGCATGGTTTATTGCAGTGTAAGTATAGTGTTGTTGTTTTTTAATTGAATATGCCGTATTTTTCGCCCTATAGGACGCACTTTTCCCCCTCCAAAAATGAAGGGGAAATGTGTGTGCGTCTTATGGGGCGAATGCAGGCTTTCGCTGAAGCCTGGAGAGCGAGAGGCATCAGTGCGCACCGACCCCTCTCGCTCTCCAGGCTTCAGGAAGCTATCCGCAAGCCTCACACGCCCGGCGGGAGGTCCCACCGGGCTTGCAAGGCTTGCAGGCAGCAGCCTCTTCTGGGGGCTGGGGTCGGGAGAAGCTCGGGCTTCCCCTGCGCCAGCCCCGTGCCTGGGGGGAAAATAATTTTTTCCCCTTTATTCCCCCCCCCAAATCTAGGTGCGTCCTATGGGGCGGTGCGTCCTATGGGGCGAAAAATATGGTAGTTTTATTCAGGGACATTTCTCTAGAAAAAGGGGTGCTGTTTCATGGAGTTGCATCCTCCAATTACATACAAATGAATATACCTCCCCCCCAAAATACTACTATACCCTTTCAAATAACTCATTAATTATTTGATCTAGTGTTTATTTGGGGGGGGGTATATTCATTTGTAAGTAAGATCAGATTTTAAAATGATGTTAAAGGTCTTGTGGCATTTAATGGTCAATCCAATCCACTCAATCTACTTGCTGATCCAGAAGTGTTGCTGAAGGAGGCCATCGGGGAAACTGAAGCATTAGGCAAGCTGACCTGATTGGCAACTAAGAAAATAAAATCATAATTGTTGTGTCTGAATGTACCACCTGACATTAAGAATGTCAAACTCTGGAGGGTCTGAGACATCTCAGTCTTTTCCATGCAGTAACTCAGAAGGAACACAAAACCTGCATGGCTTATTGCAGCATATCTATAATGCTGAAAATAAGAACATAACTGAAAACCAAATAATAGAACCATGAAGAAAACAATCCCATGTATAGTTATAATGATGGGCATTATTTTTCCATCTGCTCTCCTGCTGCTTGGTTTGATGTCTAAATAAACGTGAGGGAAGATGCCCCCACCTGAGATTAGCCTGGAGATCATCACAATGGCCAACCACCACAGCCAGAATGCAGGATCAGAATGAGGGAGGGCAGCAGCCATATGAGACACTTTCAAATGCAGCCACAAACAAGAGACATCTCAGAAGCATGGAGAAGGGAAATTATATAACCTCCTACCTTCTCTGACTTCATAAGGAAGCAGTCAATATAGTCACGGGGGTCCTGATAATCTAGGGTCTCCTTGTGGGATTCCACCCTCTCATTGATGAAAGCATACATTTTTTCAAAACTTCCTAAAATCTTTTTGTGCTGTCCAGGCAGGTAAGGCATTATTTTCGAGAACACATTATAAACCTGGAACAGAAACAATACATAACAACTGTATATTGAATTTATCATTTTAGAACTGCCTGCTGAGTCTATGGATTTAGGGATGTTGGAGAAATCTATTGCAAAATGTTTGCAATCCATGGCTCTTTCAAGAGGAATGACAGGATTTAAATTTAATAAACAAACAAAGAATTGTAAATAAATCCTCTCTCCTCCTCCTCCTCTTCTTCTCGGTCTCCTTTATTTACAGTCTACTATAGTTACATGGGACGCGGGTGGCGCTGTGGGTAAAAGCCTCAGCACCTAGGGCTTGCCAATCGAAAGGTCGGCGGTTCGAATCCCCACGGCGGGGTGCACTCCTGTTGTTCGGTCCCAGTGCCTGCCAACCTAGCAGTTCGAAAGCACCCCGTAGATAAATAGGGACCGCTTACTGGCGGGAAGGTAAACGGCGTTTCCGTGTGCTGCGCTGGCTCGCCAGATGCAGCCTTGTCACGCTGACCACGTGACCCGGAAATTGTCTCCGGACAGCGCTGGCCCCCGGCCTCTTAAGTGAGATGGGCGCACAACCCTAGAGTCTGTCAAGACTGGCCCGTACGGGCAGGGGTACCTTTACCTTTACCTTTATAGTTACATATTCATTATCACTAGATCCTGCCCATATCCACTGAGGCAGAAATCCTAACTATGCCTGCCCAGAAATGAGGCTTACTGAATTAAACTAGGCTTACTCTGAGGTATGTGGGGTTAGGATCGCAGCCCTAATCGACTTCCTACTGTGAATTGTAAAAGAAAACATTGTTTTTTAAAAAGCAAATGCATTGTTTATTTTTTGTCCTGCTTATTCTCTGAAACAAAATAATGTAGAAATAGGTTCTAGATCTTTCTACAGCAAAGACTCATTTAAAATAATGTTAGGCTAATTGTACCTTGTATGCAAGTCTGGCCCATCCATGAAGTGGAGTGAAGCAGGTACCTCAGGTGGTACTTGAAGTGTACCCTCCTTATATGTCCTGCCCACCCCACTCCTTTCTCTGCTGGCTAAGAATTCACCTTGTTTTGTCTCAAGTCATGAAATGGGATGCACCACCCCTGCTTGAATGTTTTTGTGCTTAGTTGATACATGTACCATACATATTAACTCTGAGTAGACTAGAAACCAGAACACTACGGAGACAAGTTCAGTGGCAGAGCACCAGGTTTGCACGCAGTAGGGCCCAGGCTCAATCACTGGCATACAAGGAACTCAAGAGTAGCTTGTAGGAGCCATGCGGTCTGAGCTTGTAGCAACCAACCCATACGTCCTCACATGCTGAGTTTCTCAGACAGACCAGAGAGAAACAAAGGGTTAATTGCCCAGTCTCTCCCACACTTCCACTTATCTTATGCCTAGAAAGCACAGATCCAAGCAGATTTGCACTTGGCCCATTCTTTCTAGGCACAGGTCTGACTGGTTCTGCCTTTGCCCTGCTGCTTCCCCCCAGGAAACCCACTCTTTAGTGCTTAATCAGAACAAACAGCAGTCTGCAGAAAACCTGATTGCTGTTTGTTCCAATTCAGTACCAAACAATGGGTTTTCCTGGGGGAAAGTGGTGGGGCAATCTGAGTTGAGGATAACCTCATAGTTGTGAGGGAAGCTTTTTAGTGATATCAATTGAAAGGCAATCCATGATAAGAATCAGTGCCGTTTTTCTAGAAAGAGAGGCACCAGAACTCACCAGGAACACCTCCCTTGTTCTCTTAGAATGCCAATAGCACGCACCTGAGAGGTGCCAGAATTGACTTTCACTGAGTTCCAGCTGAAGAAAAGCCCAGATAAAAATATTTTCCTTATACTCCTTGGGAAAAAGGAGTGTCTGAGTTTCAAACTCATTTCCCCTGCCCCAAGCAGATATTCAGCTCAGCTCTGACTGCCTTCACATCCTTTAGATATAAAGAAAATCCTTCCAGTAGCACTTCTGTTTCAGTGTATCTGAAGAAGTGTGCATGCACATAAAAGCTCATACCAATAACAAACTTAGTTGGTCTCTAAGGTGCTACTGGAAGGAATTTTTTAATTTTGTTTTGACTACGGCAGACCAACACAGCTACCTACTTATAACTAGAACCCTTTAGATAAGCAATCCTTTGATAATGAATAACTGGGAAAATTCACCGCTAACCCGGGCAAGTGCTCCACCAACATGCCTACAGAAGAATTTCTCTAGGTCTGTATTTTGAGTGGTTAATTTGCTGATGCTCTGCAATTAAAGCCAAGATGTATGTGATATTGTGTCATGTGGAATTTAATGGAGACAAGGATCAGAGAAAGTGGAAAAGGTAAAGGGGAATATACCCCAGGGTGCACCTGGCTTATACCAGGCCCATGTCCATTAAGATGAACCAAGGTTCTGGGTCCATGGGATATACTTGTAAGAAGGAACAACATACCTGTCCCATATAACTCACAAGGTAGCCCACAAAAGCCTCCATGATATGCAGCTTCTCCAGGAAGACCTGATCTTTGTACTCAAAGCGACTCCCAAAGACAACAGAACACAGCACATTAGAAACAGCAGTTCTCAAGTGTTTTCTTATATCAAAGGCCTGCCCTGCAGGAGCAAAAGGACACAGTCAAAAGAGTTTGGCAAGGTGGATATTCTCTCCCTCTGCCTGCATGACAGAATAACGTAAACCAGAATTCCTTGCACAATTGAACCAGACAAATGGTGCATTTTGTATTTCCCTTATATTAAAAGATGATTAAGTTCCTTTTACATGGAAATGATAGTATCAGCAGCTCCTGTATTCCCTTTATTTAGCAAGATGTAAGTGCAGCTTAACTGTTGAGGATAACATTATGGACTCCCCAAAGGAGGAAGATGTGCTACCCCATATCTGTGGTCAAGAATTCCCTGCACAAACAGAGCTTGGTGCATTCAAGGTGTACCTTACAACTCAGCCAAGTTCTTTAATAGGAATAAATTCATGAACACCTGTGACATAACTAACAGAAATCCCACTTTCTGGGACTGTTCCTGCCCCGAAGGACTTCAAAATTGTGTTTGTAATAAGGATAACTTGGGAAGACCTTTTGCGGTTGCCATTGCCTCCACCAGACAGAGAACTTCTTCCTGCACCCTCGCGGACATCGCTTTCTTCCCCATTCCAAAATCACGCAGGGTGCTGAGTGTGAACCGGCGCAGCTCTTTCCATCTTTTCACAGATCTGCTGGACAGTCCTGAAAGCAAACAGGTGAAGATCCTTCCCTTAGAAGGAAGTTTTCTCAGCAGGAGGTTTCTACATTGTGGCACTTTGTCCATTCAGACTATAGTCCCATTTGTAGTTGAATCAAGCCATGGGTGGTTTGTATGTAACTTTTTTATCACATAATAACAGTGCTGAACTATAGCATGAACATTTCTCCATATTGTTAAATGGTGCTGGAGGAGAGAGGACAGGCAAACTCTTCTATGGGTCATGTCATATCACGTCTTTCATTAAATATCTGTTATGGGCAAAATGTTCGATTTGGATAAAAATGAGACTTTCCTGGATGCCTAGATCCAGGTTTGGGGCAAGTACTCTTTGGTAAGAGAGCCCCAGCAGAGATTTAACATCACAAAACATGCAGCAAAGTAAAGTGTGGGAATAGGCTATTAGACCTTTAAAACATGCCCTTCTAACTTCTTTCCAAATTTCCCCAACTATATGCTTATAAGTGGTAAGGGAAGGGGCAGAACAGAGAGTTTGGTAGCCCTTCCTTCCAAGGTGAGCTAGCTAAGCTTGGCATGACAGCTGACTTTATGATCTTAACACCTTCATGCATTTAGAATTAAGCATGTTGGTTATTTGAGACTGACTACATCCCTCATGGGACACGGGTGGCACTGTGGGTTAAACCACAGAGCCTAGGGCTTGCCAATCAGAAGGTCAGCAGTTCAAATCCCCATGATGGGGTGAGCTCCCATTGCTCGGTCCCTGCTCCTGCCAACCTAGCAGCTTGAAAGCACAAAGTGCAAGTAGATAAATAGGTACCGCTCCAGCGGGAAGGTAAACGGCGTTTCCGTGCACTGCTCTGGTTCACCAGAAGCGGCTTAGTCATGCTGGCCACATGACCTGGAAGCTGTACGCCGGCTCCCTCGGCCAATAAAGCGAGATGAGCGCTGCAACCCCAGAGTTGTCCACGACTGGACCTAATGATCAGGGGTCCCTTTACCTTTATATCCCTCACAGTAAAGGAAGAATTCAGTTCAGGGCTGTTATTTGGGGTGGCAAACTCCTTTTTGTGGTAACATCTAGCTCCACCTGAGGTTGAAAAGGGGAGGGCTCGATGTCTGCTTATTCCTACTTGAGACCCCTGAAAATGAAGTCTGCTTCTCCCATTAAAATGGAAGCAATAAACAAATAAGCACAAGACCCCTACCTACCTTTAAAATGGCTCACTGTATCACTGAAAGGCAAGGCAGGACGCCCACCAAATTCTTCAGCATGATCCAACAGAGCATCTTTCACCACTTCGTATCCACAGAGTACCACCATGGGCTTGGGACCCAGCCAGACAGTAAAGATAGGACCCCATTTATCATAGAGCTGATGGTAGAATTTTAAAAATGCATGGATTATTAGGCAACACCTGTTCTGGATATATCAGTGGTGGCTGGCCCATTAAGGCAACCAAGGTTTATCCCTACCAAGTGAAAACCCAGCAATTTATTTTTAAATCCCCCCAATCTCAAAGCTATAGTCTTTTTTGTTCCACACACTCTCCCATTTCCAGGAGTACTGGATACTTTTCTGTCAATCAGCTCTCTGCACTACTCAACTAATCACAATCCAAAAGTGTTGCTCTAGCTAGGAGGTCCCACACTTTTCTTTCTCGAAGCAGAAAAGCCTATTTTTATTTGACCTAGCTATGCAATTTCCCCCTCCCACCTACTGACATTATTTCAATTCAACCAAGATAACTGAAGGTAATTGGCCTGATGATTTGGTAGTCCCAGGGGCTAAGTGTTCTTTATTACTGCATTTGCAATAGTTCAAGATAAAACCTATTTGAGAAAGAAACTGCTTTTGCAATTTTTATGGATGTTTATTGTTTGTTTACAGATAGTTGACTTGGTGATATTATCTTGTGTCGATTGCAGTAGTCATTGTATCATCACCCTGTTCATTGTTTTATCAGCAAGAAGTAGGGCAGCAAGATGAGATTCTGCACATTTTAAATTGGAATGGAGCTGTGTGAAGAGAGCCTATTGGAAAGCGAAAGGGTGTGGTGGTCAGACATATCTGAGTAACTGAAGAAAAGGGTTTAGAAATGGGATCCTCATAACAGAGGGTCCTGGTTGTGCGCGGGACCCAAGAGCTCACCTGATAGCGTTAAAATGGGGGTGGGGTTAGGAGCAAGAAGTCCTGGCCATTCCCCTGGGATCACACCAGGCGATTTTAGCCAATAGCCACTGGGTGGGGTGATCCCAGGGGCTTTAAAAACAGCAGTGTGATGCAAGGAGTGGCACTAGTTTCGCACTGTTGAACACCCGCCCACCCTCCCTAGTTTAGTTAGAGTCGCTTGGTTTGGGTCGCCTGTTTTGGAACAGGGGCTGGGTAGGAATTTTTCCATTTGGCAGATTGGCTTTAGCCATTTGGTTTTCACCTACCCCTTAGCAAATTGTCACAACTTGTAAGGTGGCGGTTAGGCATTGGCTCAGTTGGATTGTGGGGAGGGGGGACCATCACCTGCCCCTCCAGGAACTGGGTATTCCATTAAAGGAATCTGGGGGGTCCTGGATCTCGTCTGAAGTCCGCTTGAGGGGCTAGGGCCATGCCAGGACACAGGAACCCCAGGGTGAGCTTAGGTTGGTCCTCATCGACCTAGCTCCCTCGTTTGGTTTACCCCATTTGACGATCACCCTGAGAAGTGGAACCAGTTATAGTGGGGAGTTAATGCCTAAGCCAATACCGCTCACGTGATTGTATTTCAATAAAGTTGTGGCCAAAAATTTTGCCCAAAAACTTAAACTAATATAAGTGTCCGTGTGTATTTATTTTGGGGGTGGGTCTTGGGGCCTCGAGACGCAAACAATGTGGGGATGTTAAAGGGAAGGAGGAGAAAACAGAGAGGAGTTGATGAATCAGCCAAAGAAATTGCTATGTGAATTACTAAGTACTAAGTGCTGAAGACATTTATTAAGCACAAATCAAGGGAAGAACCAGCAGGCAAGTGCTGATTAATAAGGATTTGTATATAAAGTTGGATGGATTAATTGCAAAATGAATATGAGTGAATGAAATGATCTGGTAAGAAAAAAGTAAATGAATTTAAAGCGACCCTAGGGGAAATTAAGTAACTTATGAATAGAAAAGAAATCTCAACTGAATTCTTTTGGAGAAATGGGTCATGGGAAAGGCACCTACACCAGCCACTTCTTAACTCACTCACAAAGAGAAGGTTCTGTTCACGGCAGAAGGCTGGCTGGGTGACTATCCAGTCCCGGGACCCAATGAAATATCTGCATGTTTAAAGTTTAATACAGGGGGCACTGATCTAACAGGAACTGAGCAGGAAGAGCAAACAGTCTGTCAATCATTATGGATGTTTATGGGGCTATACACCGAACTTTTTCAAGGGCATCATAGGAGGCTATCAAAATAACTGTGTAGCAAGGCTATTGACACTGGTCATGTGTCTCAGTCAAGTCAAATGCACCTGATCAGGAGGGCTAAACTAGTCACGAGATTAAGATAGTGTGAACTCTTCCCACCTCTTCCTCCCTCCTCCCTCAACCTCACAATGCCTATGATAGCAATGTTTCAACCAAGCGTTACTGACCTGTAGATAAAGATGTTCTTAAAGATGGTGCTCTCTGCAGCCTCTCAGCCAGGCAGCACTTCCAGGAAGACGCAAAGAGAACGGGAAACGTTCCTTTCATTACTTTCCGTCTGTTCACTTGTGATGTAGGAATATTTGGGCTTCTCAAAGCAGCAGACAGAAGCAGCCATACCCAGACTAAAGAAGGGGAAAACTAACTTTGTGCCTTCCTGTCTCTCTGTCCTTTTATTCTAAATCTGCTTTGCGGCACGAATGAAAAGTGGTGGACTTACCTTTGCATAGTTTCTGCTCAGAGGCAGGACGTCTTTCTGCAGAAGATTGCCCAGAAGAAACCACGGAGTGGGCCCTGGAGGTAGTTGGGCTTTCTTCTTGTACATTTTGACGGAGAACAAGAGCAAGGTGACGAGGAGGCTGAGAAGCAGCAGAGCTTCCACCCCCATTTTTCTCTGTGTTCTTTTGGTCAGAAATCTAAGAAAATACTTAAGAAAGACAAGGTGGAAGAAAGCTGCCTGCTGGAGACCCAACCCAACTCGGACTCTGGATTATCTCTGTTGCTCTTCTGGTGCTCGTTTTTTGAATGTGGCCTTTAATAATTAACAGGGAGAGTTATTCATTAATATATATTGAACTTAACCTTGACTCAGAATTAAAGAGGAATGCCCTCTGGGGCACATGAGAGATAAGAGTACATGGAGGCTGCTGGCAAATATATGCTATCTGAGAAGCCAGTCAGTAAAAAGGTGTGTTTACCTGCTGCAGGGAGGATGTTTACCTTCTTTTTTCGAATCTGCACATGCGCCTTTAAACACACTTTACTTATAGCTATCATCTATCAATCTATCTATCTATGCCACATTAAAACTGTGAGTGAGGTATAGATGTTTCCCCACTGCCCTTCCTAGCATACTCACAGCAACATAACTTTTTATCTGCAAGTCAGCAGGAGAGAGTTGTTTGGAATGAAAATGGAAAGGTGGAGGTTGATAGCCTGAATGCATATTCCACCACCACCCCACAAACACAACACACACACCTGCATACACCAGCTTCATCCTCAAAAAAAGTCAGAACAATGTTCACCATATGCATGTGAAACATGGACCACTTATAAACGCCATCTCCAGCTCCTCGAAAGATGGCCCCTCCTCTTCGGGCCTGGGGCCTAGCGAGAAAAAGAGTCCAATTAAGAAGCCGGCCACTGGCCGTTGTCGGCAGAATAGTTTGTCACCTGATGTCTCCCCTGACTTTCTCCATCTTCATACTATCAAGGACATCCTTGATTTCTTTCAGCTGCAAAGGCTTGCAATGAATTTAGTTTGCTGCAGATCTAACTGCAGAAGAACCAAATACAGAAATAAACTTTAACATTCACAGATCAAGGGTACCTTTCTTTCCTATACAACATAAAATAATACATTAGAAACTCTGAATTTATTTCTTCGGGTGTTGCATATATTTTATTGCATTCTCCCTTAATCAACAGAACATTGTTCTGACTTTTTTGCATATGGTGTTTCACATGCATATGGTAAGGTTGGTAGTACAATAGCTTTGTAAACAAGCATTTTGGTTTCCCTGTGAAAGTCCCGGTCCTCAAACACTCTGCACTTCAATTGGGAGAAAGCAGCACTTGCAGAGCTCAGACGATGCTGGATTTCGGCATTGATGTTGGCCCTTGTGGAAAGATAACTGCCCTAGGTAGGAGAAGTGATCGACATTTTTCAACGTTACACAATTGAGTTGGATTTGTGGCACTGCAGAGGGGTTATTTCATAGTTGTTGGTGCAGCACTTTGGTTTTTTGGATGTTGAGTGATAGGCCAAGCTTTTCGTAAGCTTCTGCAAACATATTTAGGATGGTTTGGAGGTCATCCTTTGCGTGTGCGCACACTACGTTGTCATCAGCATACTGAAGCTCTATGACAGAAGTTACGGTAACTTTCTTTGCTTTCAGCCTGCTCAGAATGAAGAGCTTCCCATCTGTTTGATATATGATTTCTACTCCGGTGGGGAGTTTCCTTTCAACAAAGTGTAGGATCGTGGCAATGAAAATAATGGGGCAATAACACAACCCTGTTTAACACCAGATCCCACTGTGAATGGTTCACTTTGAGAGCCATTGTTATCTGTGATGGTTGCTGTCATATTATCATGGAGGAGCCGAATGATGTTTACAAATTTATCTGGGCAGCCAATTTTCAGAAGGACAGTCCACAGGGCATTATGATTTACAGTGTTGAAAGCCTTAGTCAGGGACACATGGGGTAGGAGAGTAGGAAGGTGATGAAGTATCACCATGGTGGTGGCGAGTGGGCGCCTTCTTGCTAGGTCCAGCCACTGCCGAGGGTGGGCCATCTAGGAAGGTGTCTTTGCCCTTGGCTTAGGCATGCAGGATAGGGACGACCTTCTTGCCAGCAGACAGGACCCTTTTCTTGATCTTAATAGCTGCCTGCACAGCACTACTAGGGGTGTCCCTCACTGTGCACCTACATGTGTGTGTGGGGGGGGACATCACTGCGTTCAGTTGCCGTAGCGGAAGACCTGATGGTAAAACCAGCGTGTGAAAACAAGGAATAACCAGCTGCTTGACGATGTAACACTGTGGGAGCAAGCTGAAATCTAACAGTTGGATTGCTAAACTAAGGTCTAACAAACAACACCAGCAACCTTACTGCACACGCACCACTAAAGGAAATACTGAAAGGCAAGGAAAATAATACGTTAAGATTCCCACAATCATACGTTTGAAGCCAGAACTGCATCACCCAAGCCATGTGCTGGTGGCCAAAACTGTAAGCCACCATGAGGCAGCCCGTGCAATACGTTAGCCGCAAGAACTGCACTCCCAAAGCCAAAAAGCAAATTCGCAAGCAAAATAATATGTTAGATTACATCCAGGCGCATCATGCTTGAACCAGGATGCACCTGCGCAATGCACCCTGAGCAGGGCTGAAAATAGGCGGCCGCTAGTAACTGACTGCTTTCAAGCTGCTGGTAATAACTTTAATTAAACTGGAAAGCGAGGAACAGCAACCATATTTGAAACACACAAGTATGGAGTTCAAAGGGACCTTGAGGATCATCTAGCCCCACCCCCTGTAATGCAGGAAGACACCACTGTCCCAAGTGAGGATCACTGATAGAGCTCTCTTTGTTCCGAAAGAAACAGGAACTCGCCCCCTCCCCTCCAAACTGATACGGATCGGAAAGGGGGGGTACCTCCTCTCCCCCCTCTCCCTTGAACAACCGAGGCGATGACCTCAAGGGTATCCACCGTTCACCCACCCTCAGTTCCCCACACCGTTGCACAAGCACCACACTTCTCCCAGACCCCCCTTTTTCCTTCTTTCTTCCACGAGCGAAATAAGCTCAAATATATGAATATATTCTCCTATCTCTTCCTATGGCTATCTGCGCTCCATACTTAGAACGAGTAGACCGGGCGTTCCTGTATCCCCGCTTATTCCTATGGCTGCATTTTAGCCAATCACAGCCATGCATTCGTCCTGCAGGAGCTAGCTCAGGGAGCCCTTGCACGCCTCATTGAACCTACTGACAAGCTGCTGACGGCCCCCCACTGTGAGAACAATGGATCCGAAACCAGAGACCTCGTAAATTGTAGCAAGATTATTCTTGCTACAATGTGTCCATTTTGTTTCCGCTTTTGATCACCAATACGGAATAGGTCAGACAGCATAGGAAACCTTTGGAAATTCACATAAAATCAACCATAACTCCGATTCCTTTGCTCTTGGTGTCATTCAACTCAGCTCCCTTTGGACTCCATGATGTGATCCTTCCTTCCATAATCCCCGGAGCGACAGGGCACGTACACAGGAACTTCTTAATCCTGTCAGATCGCTTCGCCTAACCTTCCTCCGGGCAATACTAGGTGACAGACGATGCATATCTCTGGCCCATTGTCTTGCCACCACCGGTACTCAATAAATGTTTACCTATGCATATCTCTCGCTCTACATATTCCCCCCTCCCTTATCTTAAATGTTAATTAATGTAACCCCACCTTTCCCTGATATATTCATGACGTGTGAAATATATTCATGATGTAACCCGTGAAACCCAACCTTCCCATAATGTATTCATGACGTTTCTTGCACTGTATTCTGGGACTTGGAGGGAACTTTTAAAAGTTTGTGTCGCCCCATTCTCGGGGTTCAATCTCGTTTTGAACCTGTTGCGCAATAAACTTGGATCTTCGTACTTTGCTCCTGCGTCCGGCTGAGCTTCCTTTCCTCCGCAAAAACCCACGGACTCTGTCCGATTGGCTGGGTGGCAGGGTAAATACGCACCCAGATTTCCGTAACAGTTTGGCGCCCAACGTGGGGCTTCCAGCGGTTCTCCCGGGTTGCTGACCGGGGGCCCCGAACTCTTCAGCCGGCTCCGGGCCACTTTGCCTGGGAAGACCCTTTTGGACCTCCGGCCATCTCCCGGGCGGTAATCGGGAGCCCTAGGAGTTCAGCCGGGGAGCAAAGGGGATCCAGCCGGCTTGTTCATCGATCCCGGAACCGGATCGACGCAGAAGACGCGTGAGTATAGGATAGGAAAAATCCAGTGCACTGGTGGGAAGGGGTGGAAGTCTCCTGGCAACCGAATTCTCTGCCCTCCTCTCTATCGTTTCTTCTCGCCTTTCCCTTGGTCCGGTTAGTGAGAGAGGCCGTGGACCACCGCTCGACCCAACGGGGGTTCTGAGCTCTATCTCTTTCTCTAAACTCTCCAGCCAGCCGCACCAATTGGGAGCCCGAAGGGTAAGACGGAGAGATCCGACTTGAAAGATAGCCGACTCTCCGCAACGGGCATCCCAGTTGAAAGCAAGGGGTTGGAGCTCTTTTTCCAATCTTCCCGAGCGTCCTTTCTAGGGGGCAGGAAGTGGTCTTACTTTCTATCCTAATCCCAGCCGCACCGGTCGGGCTACGTACCCTGGGTATCGTAAGCCCGCTTCCGAAAGCAAGGGGGATTTTCGACCCGAAATTCTATCCAGGGACCACCCGATCTGGCACCGCACGGCGCGGGCGTTCAGTAGGGCCCCTTTTCCTGAGAGTGATCGATAGGTAGGAGGTTGCCGGGGGGGGATAGCCCATGAGGAATTGGGCGGGATCGGCAGAGTGGAAAGGGACCCCAGATTATTGGTCAAGGAAATAGGAAGGGAAATAATACCGGATAGCTAGAGCTCTTTAAAAACTCTCTAAGGAAGTTGCCAAGCGACTGAAGACCCCTCTTTTACTACAAGCCCTTTATTGAGTATACCGAACACCCTAGACCCACCAAACCTTACCGACCCCTCTCTCTCCTCTTTCCTGTCTAGACACGCGTGAAATATACTATGGGTACCCAGGCTTCCAAACACGAGCGGGCTCACTCTGGGAGGAAGGCTTCTAGAAAGCCATCCCGATCTCAGAAGGATCCCGACTCTCCTCTCCAATTTGTCATCACGTATTGGAAGTTGATTCCTGGCCACAAGTTATTATCCAAAGAAAAGTTAGAGGACCTCTGAAATCTGGCCCGCCAGTACCGCATCGGCCAAGCCCGAATTGCGCTGGCCGGCA